TAAGAATTAATAATACTAGTATTTATTTGATAAATATTAATAACATCATTAAAAAAGAAAGAGAATAATAAACGAGAAAAATAATGGACACAAATTATTTAGACATACTTATTATTATAATGTGAAGTGAATGTTAGATATTTGATTCTCTTAAACCTTTTATTATTAGTCTTAATAGTGTGGACCCAAAGTTATGTGGTCTAAATTATTCCTCTTCACTCTACCATTTTGTTGAAGAAGTGTATAATTTCTTGGTAATTATAGAAATGAGGCCTAATAAAGTATGATACATTATTAGATTCGTTTTAATTTTGTAATTATGTTGTGTTTCAATTAGACTTAAGAAGTTAATAACATGATGCCATGCCTTACCTTTAGATTTCAATAGTATGAGTAAAAATAATAAGAGTGACCATTAACATACCTAATTAAAGGGGGTCACATATATCAAAGTGAATAAGATTATAAGACTTCTATGCTTTACTAAAACTAACATCATGAGACAATTTCTTATGTCATGCAAAGTGACAAATATCACAAACAACTTTTTGATTCATAATAACAAATAAAAACTTAGAATGTAAAAGGTTCATCTTAATGTGTGATAAGTGATCAAATTTAAAATTTCATGGAGCATTATCTAGGTAACAAGCTTTAAGCATCTATTGCAGAAGCATACACTCTTGCTTTAGATCAAGGTAATGCATTCCTTTGGCATAATCAATCATCTTCATAATATCTTACTTCTGAATACATCTTTGCATACTAGTAAAATTTACAAGACAATTAGGAGATTAACAGAGTGGAATGTGAGAGTAAATTAATGGAAAAATGTAGTACGAAAAACACATTATAAATTATAAAATATGATGAAAATTACACAATACTACTATGTTTAGCGTATGCAAAGATTCCATTAGGTAATCTAACATTAATAGGATTGATTTCTTTGTAAGAAAGAAACCAATTAACTGGCATGCATATGTGGTGACAGACGCCTAAACAAATGATCGATGATTTAAGAAAATGAATATTTAAAAAGGAATGATTTTGCAAGAACCAACTTGATTTGAAAACTGCAAGTGTTGAATTTTGGCCAAGGGATGAATTCTGAAGAAGATTCGTTAACTTCTCATATTTGTTTTGACAAATAGCAGTAGAATTAGATCTTCTATCATCAACTACAACTGAATCACCATTACAAGTAATGCTCTCAACTACACTATTATTGGCCTTAGAACTATTCTTTTCTGAATATGTGGAGGAATATTGTGATTCTTATAACATTTTTTCACACTATGAATTTATTTTCCACAATAAGTTCATACACGAGATTAAATCAATAGCTATTTTGTATACACGAGTCTTAATAAAGGCTTTGGCATCACTAGAAGTAAGGAAATTAACTTAATGCTCGTCTTGGATAACCATAGAGAACACCTTGTTCAATGAAGGTAATGGGTACATAAATAACAGTTGAGTCTTAACCATTTCAAAATTTTTATTAAGGTCAATAAGAAAGAAAATGATGTAGAGAAGGTTGTGATTGTTGTCAGCACAACTCATAACTTCACAAGAATACTTGATATGACAAGTGCAAGCTAGATATGGAAGGTGTATTTCTAACTCCTTCCAAAGGGTATTTAATTAGGAGAAAAACTAGTGATTGATCGTGAAACTTGTCTGAAGAAATACATTTCTTATTGCAACTCTAAGATTCATATGAAATCACCCTGTAAAAAACGCTCCTTCAAATCATTTCACACATTAATGTTTTTATTTGATCAATCATATGTGTTTTAGAAGTTAGGTATGTTGGATATAAAGAGCAAAACAACAACAAGTTCAACAACAACAAGTTCAACAACAACGAAAAGTAACCGAGCTGAGTCGTGAATTAGATTCACTGTCCTTGAGAGTTTTATTCAGGTATTATCCTAAACACTCCCTAGGATTAAACAACACCTTCTGGTTGCAGTAACCAGGAACTCAAGAACTAGCGAGAATCTTAAATATATATTGTCCAAGAACAAAGAAGGGGGGAGAAGAAGATAATTTTTGGTGTGTTTTTGTGTCATTCTTCATGAGAAATAAGCTAACTATTTATAGGACAAAATTAGTGAATAATAAGGTAGAGGAAGAAAATAAATTATGGGCGGTAAAGCTTAATAATTTAGGTGGCTAGGTTTAATAACTTGGGCATCAACACAACAATCCATACCGATTTAGTCAAAAAATGGATGGTACAAGGTTTAATAACTTGGGCGGCAGCACAACAAACCATACAGATTTTGTACTAAACTTCCACCGGTGGAAATTGTTCTTGAAATAGCTGCAATAGTGTTTTGGTATGATTTCACATAAAACTTCCACCGGTGGAGGTTGGACTTTAAAACACACTAATTTTTCAACAAGGTATAAGGTGGTTAAACAATTAAAACTAATTTCATATGTGGTTTCTACTAGTTACATATATAGTTACTACTAACTTTCTACGTGGTTACTAACTAAAACTTAGTTATTTAGTAGTATAATTCTATATAAATGATGTAACACATGTTTGTAAAAAAACAAAGCCTAATTGAATACAATCCTCACTTTGGTCCCTCTCAATTCTCTCTCCCACTTATTTCTTGAAGAGAAAGAAAGTTCTCGCTTTAACAATCAAATGCATTTTCTATGAAAATAATAGATTGAGTAATGAATTTGAAAATTGAGTTCATTATCCACAAATGTGCAGCCATGTTTCACCTATTCCAAGCTTGCACATTAAGGTCAAAGGAATCAAAAAGTACAATGATAGTGTCATCAATAAACTTGAGTATCATCTTCCTGCCATGAGCATGACATATAGAAAAGACCCATAAATGATAGTGGGAGTTGGCGAGCACCAGAGTAATAGTGATAGAGAAAGATCCATCTTTAGGATGAACGTAAAACACATTAGATTTGCTCGAAAATTAGATTAGTGGAAGCTACATGAGGGCATGATGAAGAATAGTAGTTAGATCGCAACAAAATTGAATTGAAAAACGGCTGATACCATGTTAAAAACTACAAAATGAATGATTTTTTACTAACTCCATTAGAGAATGTTAACTAAAACTATTGAAGTGTAAGATTATTCACTTGAATTGAATAAAATAAATGTTCACCCTTATGTACAAATAAATGAGACCCTACACAAACTATTATTATAAGCATTACATAAAGTATTGCTCCAAAAGTGCGATCAACTAATTACAATTAAGTATAACTTAAATAGCAAAATTATAACATAATTCTAGAACTTTTCAAACTAACTCGCATAGTTAGTGTGGATAGTTTTGTCTTCACAACAAATTTGATCATTTAATACATACATTCAATCAAATTCGGCCACACAAATACTTAAAACAATATTTTAGGATAAAACTTAATTTTGTTTAAAATAACTTACGCCCTATAATCATTATTATAAGAAAAATTATATTTTAAAATTCATTAAATATCTTTTATATTTTGTCTAGATAATATATCAGATGCATTAATAAATAAATTAAACAGAGAATATTTGATCAGAAGAATAATTTGTTTGGATGTGTTAGAAAATTATACCTCTTCAATAAGAGGTATTTGTATTGAAATCGATTCAAATAAGAATTATAAATCAATTTAAAAAATTAAAAGCTACAAAAAATTAAACACTATTAAATATATTTGAACGTTATTTTGTTAAAATTGCTTTGTTCGAATTTGATTTTATACTAATTATTTAAAATTCAAAACGAATCAAATCACACACGCGCGCGCACGCAAACACACACACTTATTTATTTATTTATTTATTATTAATATGATATCTTGTGTTTAATGATACTTTTTTTAATATTATTTATTTGTTTAGCGTGATTTATTTATTTTTATTATTTTATTTGTTTTAACATAGTCGGTCAATTTTATTTTGTAATATTAAATTTTAGTATACTATATATTATATATTATGTCAAATATACTATTTATTAGCATTTTTATAATATTAATAAAAAATATATAATTTATAATTTTAACATTTAAAAATTGATTCAAATTAAATTATATGAAATTGAGTCGGATCGAATTAAATTATTTTAATCAATCATTCTAAATTAAATTGAACTGTAAATACATTTATCTCTAAATCAAATAAATTTTTACTTTAAGGCTCTGTTTGGCAAAATAGTTTTTTAGCTTATAGCTTATATGATTCTATGACAATAAAAGACATGTTTAGTAATAATCTTTTCATCAAGAATTTATTGCTTATTTTACTAACTTATAATTTATTTTTTCAGATGTTATTTTAAATAACATTTTTTTTTTATAATTAATAACTTATATTTTTTCTTTCACTTTTATTTTTATTATTTTAATTAAAATCAACTACTACCCTTTTAAATTACTTTTAGTTTAAATAAAATAATTATATATTAAATATTTTTTATGTTGTTTTAATTTATCAATTAATTAAATAGTTAATTTTACTAAACATTTCAATTTATTAATTAACTATATAAATCATCAATTATCAGAGATAAATTATAAGATATCATAAATCACTCATCTATCATAAACTATAAACTAACGGTTACTTTATCAACGAGTATTTTTAACTAACAAGTCTAAAACTGATGCAAATTCTCATCACATTATTTCCCATACTCCTTTACAACTTTTCTCTTTTTGAGGTACAAATTCTCCTTTACAATTCTAACCCAACTTAACTAATATTCCTTTTTCCATTTAACACAAAAACACGTTACTAACACAAAACACGAAAACCCTTTACAGCAAAAAATTAAAATAAAATAAAAAACTTCAAAAGTTCTTCTATTTAAGGTGACTCACACTATTACTTTTCTTTCATTCAATTCACTCACAGATTCAACACCTTCACTAATTCATCTTCCACTTTCAACAATTCTTCAATTTTCTTCAATAACCCATAAAAAGCGTATACAGATTTTCTGAAGAAGAAAATAATGAGTAATGAAGAGTTAGTTATTCAAGATGAGTATCTGTACAAAGAAGAGACGCGACTCACTGTTCTGAAAACTTCTCGGTTCTTCACTGGTGATGGCTTTGTCGTCTACGATTGTAAGGGACAACTCGTTTTCCGATTCGACTCATACGGACCTAACACTCGTGATAAGGAAGAGCTTGTTCTCATGAATCCTCACGGTCGTTCTCTTCTCACTTTGCGTCGAAAGGTATGTTATCTACCCACTGTTAAAGCCATTCTTTTTCTTTCTTCTTTTTTTCTGTGTTTTACTCTCGTTTCCGAGTTAACTCACTGAGTCAACTCACCGAGTCTGATTCGTAAGTGTATGAGTTAACTTTGCAATTAAGTTAATAGTACGATTATTTTGATTAATTCAAAGAATATGATAAAATTGAATCAAATTGAAAATCAAATAAGAGATTTATTATAATTTATTGTTGAACAAACAGTTGACAGTTCTGGATTGAAAATCAAGCATACTCTACCCCAACTACCTTTCAAAGTTTGAAAATTTTGTAAAAAAACAAAAAAAAAACTTTTTACATACAACAAAATAATTTAATAAATAAAATAATTATATATAATATTTTTTATATCATTTTGTTGAAATGCAACTTTATTTGAAACCAATAGGTATTTTTTATTTATTTATAATGTTAATATTTGAAAGTAAATTTTTAGAGTTAATATGTATTGTTACTTGTTAATCAGAAACCTAGCCTTCATCAACGATGGGAAGGGTTCAAAGGAGAGAGAAAAGACGGTGATAAACCTATTTTTAACGTAAAAAGATCATCAATAATTGGACGGTCACGAACGAGTGTAACAGTGGAAGTACACGATAATCCAGGTATGGAGTACCTCATTGAAGGGTGCTTCCCACAACGATGTTGTAAGATTTTCAACGCCACAAAAAAATTAGTGGCTGAGATTCGTCGTAAAGTGGACCCCACCACGAATGTTATGCTTGGAAAAGAAGTGTTCATGCTTTGCATTCAACCTGATTTTGATGTGTCCTTTGCCATGGGGTTGGTTTTGGTATTGGATCAAATCAACGGTGAGAATTTCTTTGATAATGGGATCATCGAGACTTCGGTGCACCCTACTGCAGAAGATTGAAGAATTGCTTGTTCTCTTATTTTATTTTCAGATTTTTATATTAATATTGAATTTAGAATGATAAATTTTAAATAAAATGAAGAGGATTAAGTTGTTTGGAGAGATGAATCAAGTACTATTTGGTGAGATATAAAGTTTTAATAAGAAATGTCAACATGGAGAGGGAAAGTTTAACACAATGGTGTGACATCAACTTACTACAATTAATACAGACTAAAATTTCAAATCTTGTTAAGCATGTGATATTGAATAGTTAAAAAAATCACCTTTTTTTTTTAGTAATTAAAATATCACTTGTTTTTTTAATGTGTAATTTTTACTACAGTTTAGTTTGAGCTAGCAAAATGGATATATTCTATTGTGGTGCAAAACATCTATGGTTTTTATTTATGTTTCATTTTCTTTGGTTTGTTAATATTTTTATAAACCACAAATTCTCTTCAATTCAATTTTTTGTATAATAATATCACTTTATGGTAGGTCTTCATTGTCATATATTAAGGGAGTAGTTTACTCATAATAAAGTACATGAATGATTATGTCGTTAAGTTAAATCAACTTATATATAAAAACATGAAAAATAAGTCGCAAGATTGAATCTGCAACATATATCTCGATCATTTTAAAAAGGCAAACTCAAACCACTGGATTACGTGACAAAAAATAAAAATTTAAAAATGATTAGAATTCGTCTATATTTTATATTCTATACTAGTATATTTTTACTAGATCTATGTTTAGTAAAAGTTCTATTTTAAAAAAACAAAAATTATCATCTCTTACATCCATAACTACTCTTCTTATGAAGTTTAAGGTTTAAAAATTTTCAGTTAGTATATTTGAAATACTTTTGTTTTGGATTAAATCAATTTAGTAAAAGTGTTAATTCAAATAATTTATTGATTCTAACCATTCATTTATTTTTAAACAAATACAGGACTATCGATTCGAATAACCAAGAGGTTTATTTGAATTAACAATCATAAATTGGAAAACGAGAGCAAGAAACTCAACCATATCAGAGGTTGATTCAAAACATATGCACAAAAACCATAAAAAGAAAAGTAGAAATGATGTACTGGACTATTTTTACCTTTCTAAATTTAAATACTTAGTATATAAATATCAAAATACGACCTTAGATCTTAATATTGAGAAAAATAAAATTTAAATACTAAACCACAGTCTCTTCTCATATTCTCTCTCAAATTCATAGCTCTTCACGGATAACCTCATTATTTAAGTTTGTTCTCATTCATTGTAGGTATGTTTCACCTAAAACCAATACAAAAGTGATTGCATGACTCTTGGATATGATATAGTTAATAATCATTAATGAATATTGATGTGTTCTAAAATGATAAGAAAAATTGTAAGTGACTAAATGAACATTTAATGCATGAGAAATAGTTCCGCATAAAAAGTTTAACTCACTTTAATACTCCTTATATAGAGTTGCATTAATTCAACAAAGAAGCTAAAGACGATAAAGTGTCACATGAATTAGTGTGGTGTTCTCAAGTCTTATGTCACTTGTCACCATCACATTCTCCCTCATTGGTGGTGTCTCGCCGGTTCTAAGACGGGAACTGAGGGCATAAAGGCAATAGATATGGCTTCTTGGAGGCACTTGTGCACTTGAGCACTTGATACGTCACATCGAAGCAATCGGGCTACTCGCGGTTGTGGTCGTTGCTTAAGTTTGTTGTATTATAATTTGGAAATGGCAACGTTTTGTGAAATGTTGCAATAGTAGGTAAAAGGTGAAAAGGTTGCAACATTTAGTGTGAAATGTTACTTACCTGCTGAAAGGGTGTGCTTAATCAAGAGTCGTAAGCATGTGAAACAACATTACTTAATATATAAATAGGTCATTCCAGATTCAAAATAACACATAACATTAACCTATCATTTTAGTGTAATTTCAATATTTCCATCTTCCATCAATTCGAGTTTTTATTCGTCTCATGTGAATTTGATTATAGACTTAATTATCATGGGTATTCATGCACGTTGACTCTAAGAAATTTTGAAAGCGCTTGAAATACTATTAGGAAAGGGATTACATTCACGATTTAAACATAGATCCATTCAACTTACAAAATTTATCTAACAGTCTAATAATATCTCAAATAATGGCTATTGTGAGTTTAGTATCAAGCATCAAAGTGATGAACCAAGACCTTGTCAAGTTTGATAATTTCAATGGAATAAACTTCACTTGTTGGCAATACAAGATGATCTTCCTTCTAACTACCTTGAAGATTTGTTATGTCTTGGATCCTAATTTGACATCAATTCCAGAATCGCAAGAAGATGATTTCGAGGACTCAAGAAAGAACACAAGAAAAGAAAGGAGGATGAATTGTTTTGACGTGGACACATTCTGAACACACTATCTAATCATCTTTATGGTATGTATATAAACAACCAATCAAAAATATAAATTTGGAAGACACTTCAATTCAAGTTTTGCACTAAAGAGGAAGGTAGTAACTAAAAAGTTTTTTATTTTAAAATAATGGATTCAAATCTCACTCTTGCACAAATACACGAGTTACATGTTCTCGTAATTAAACTAAAGGTTGTATATATTGATACTTCTGAAACTCTTCAAGTTGGTGCAATTATTGCAAAATTGACAATGTAGTGAGCGCAAAAGCCAATGGTCTAAAAAGGACCTAATAAGGAACAAAATAAGTTCAAGAAATCTGGAAGATCAAAGGGCCCTTCAGCCTTATTGAGCTAATCATTCTTTTGCTTTCTTCCTTCAACATCCTTGACAGTCTTTCCAATCTCTTTGAAAGAGCTCTCCTTGGAATTCTTGGATGAGTTGCTCATACTATCAGAAGAGACAGATGGAAATGAATGTGACTTTGATGGTAACGGGAGATTAGTTTGATAGACAGTTTGGGACAAAGAAGAATTAGCATTGATGATTTTGCACCAATGAAAGTAATAAATAGATGTGACTTTGGTCTTCAAACACATCTTCTCAATCTTGAATTCATTATTTATCTCAAATGTTCGCCTATCAGCACCTACATTGAATATCTTGAGAATTGAAAAGTTGTTTTTTCAACCATTCTAACCAGTTTTCAATCTCTTTCTCCTAATATTTGTTTTATTATTTATTTAAGGGGAGTAAGTAAATATGACTTTAAATTATTTGTATTCAGATATGATAAAATCCCAAACTTTTTTTTAGAACTTTCTAATACGATTTTTGTGCCTCTGAAAACTTCTTTGGTTAAATGAAATGTTTCTTTAGTATATTTTCTATTTCCTTTATTTATTTTTGTTTATGATCAAAAGGGGAGTAGATATAGAATTATTTAAGCACCTAAAATCTGACCGTTATTATTCTTGCATAAATTCTGAAGTATTATTTTTGTGTTTTAATTGTTCAAATTTAATTAACTTGGGCAGGAGTTAGGGGAGCTTACAAACCTCACCCTATTGACTGTTAGACTCAGGGGAAGTTTACAAACCTAAGATCCTAAAGTCAACTTGTTAATTAAATTATCAACCATTGTTCTTAAATAATTTTGTTTGTCATTATCAAAAAGATGGAGATTGTTGGAACAAAATTGGTTTCTCCAATATCCCTTAGGTTTTTGATGATGACAAAGTATTTAAATAACAACTGGTTATATTAATATTTGTTCAAGTGTGCAGGACCATAGATTAAAATTTCATATAAAAGACAAGTATTGATTCTGACTATGAACATCTAAAGAGAAACTTAAATATCAAAATCTGATGGATCAGAAGCTGAATACCAGAATCTGAAGAAGACAACTTCTGAAAGAGGTCAACGTTTGAAGGTTAGAGTCTGAAGGAGTCACAACCTTTGATGACCAAACTTTGAAGAAGTATGCTTCTGATGATCAGAACCTGAGACAGTCAAAGAGAAAGGACCAAGATGAATATGATAGGTCATTGTTCCTTTACGAGCCTACTTTGTTACGTGAAAGCCTAAAGCTCTATTTTTTCATAGAGTATGTTAGGATGCAACTAATAATTCTTTTTGTAGCAAAGGGATTTCAAACTAGATTTTAACGACCTTGACTATTTGGCGAAACATCCTAACATCTCTTTTGAAGTTTCTCTAAGACTCTACTGTTTTGTTTTTCAACGACACTTTTCCTTCTCTATTTAAGGAGTTTAAGACTCGAAGAAAACCACTGCTACTATTGACATTAAAAAGAGAAGCTACTCTATCAAAATTAAGAACAAACAAAACTTACAATTTCTTATCCTTGTATATTCTAGAAATATCTAAGTCTCGAAGAGTCTATTTGTATTGTATTCTTTCTACACCTCTGATTGTATATCAAGTGTATTACCACAGACAGTCATTTATCTGTTAGGTAGAATATTAGAAGTCTCTTGCTAAGTGTTTGAGCATTTGAAGTCTCTTGCTTATGTGTTTGAACAAAGAAGTATCTTACTTTAGTGTTTGAGCATTTGAAGTTTCTTGCTGGTGTGCTTGAGCATAAAAGTCTCTTACTTTAGTGTTTGAGCATTGGAAGTCTCTCATTTGTGGGTTTGAGCAAACTGTAACTTTGTGTGATTCATATATCAAGATAACTTTGTGTGTCACTATTATTTCTTATATTTCATATATTTTGTCTACCTCTGATTGAATTAGACTCTATAACTTGTGTTTAAAATTTGACCAAAAATTTTAAAATAAAATAAAAAATTAACACAATTCAACTTTCTTTTTGTGTTTTTTTCACTTTTGCAAGATATACTATAGTTTTGAACCTACATTTCTCATACTTATTTATTTATTTTCAACTGCTATGGTTGTATAAATGACTTTAAGATTGTTTTTGCTTGGAGATACAATTTTTTTGTTTTTAATACATAATTACTTTATAGCGAATATTTCTTTATGTAACTGGTTTATGCAATTTAGAATGAGAAGTTATTACACTTTTGCTTTAATATATATATATATATATATATATATATATATATATATATATATA